TAAAAGTATTAAGGTAAGATAATCAAAAAATGAATATTTTACAAGATATTTTATGGTTTATGTAAAATTAAGAAATGATTTCAAGCCTCATTACTCGAAACGTACTTGATGAAAAAATGTTTATTTATAGTGTTTTGGAAAGCTCTCGAGATAAGCTACAAGAATATGCAAAAATATATAGGGTGTTCCATTTAAGAAATTGAAAATGATCTTCACGTAACCTTCATGTGACTCTTCAAGATCAAATTAATGGTACCATCTTATGTCCCCCTCGAAACCATACAACTTTTGTCTGAAACATCTTTTTCTAAAATTAAAAATAAGAAAGTTATTTGGGGTGGGGCATTAAAATGGGACACCCTGTATAACAATGTCGTCTAATAAACAAATAATTCGATTCACTGCAATCCCGTTAATACTTGATCCATTAATCTTTGAAACGTAGCAGGAACATTCTTTAATCCGAATGGCATGCGATTATATTCAAAATGTCCGCAAGACGTCGAAAAAACTGTTTTATGTTTGTCATCTTTATCCATTAAAATTTGATGGAATCCAGATGTTAAATCAAATATTGAAAAATATTTTGCACTTCCTAATTGATCGAGTATATCTACAATATTTGGTAATGGATATGCGTCGCCCACCGTTTTTTCATTTAAGGCACGAAAATCTATGACTAACGCCATTTTTTATTGCCTAACGAATCATCTTTTTTTTTGGAACAATCCATAAAGGAGAATTATAGATAACTTGATGGTTCTATTACACATTTTATTACACATTTTTCTAACATTTCTCCAATCTATCGTTGTATCTCTTCCTTATGCACTTGAGGATATCGATACTGTTTGACATTAATTGGACGGTCATCGTTGTGAATATACGGTGTTTTAACATATTAGTTGCTCCTAAGTTTCTCCTGGTAAATGGAATCTTTCCTTATTTTTCGTTACCAAATTAATGACATTTACTCTTTCTTCTTCGTTTAAACGATCGAGACGTAGTAATTGCAATATTTTATTGACTCGTGATTCTAGATCTCTTGACTCGGATTCATTGATTTCCTCTATTTTTTTGTTATTCTTTGTTTCCTTAAACGGATATAGTTTTACTGTAGGGATCACTAACTTTATATCCTTATCTGATAAATTTATAACATATAGATATGCAATTCCGTGATGATTGGATACGACGGCGTTACCTAAGTACACCTGCGGCCCTGCATCTAATTTCGGAACATATCCGTTTTTTATTTCAGGATTAACGCTACTCGTATGAAAACTTGTTTCCGTATTCGTACTGGGATCATGACAATTTCATCACTATGAAAATGGTATGGAATTCCGTTTACAACTAGACTGGCCCTCGGGTAGTCGATAGTTGCTCGTTGATTTTTGAAGAATTCTGTGCCCAGGATTTTGTTCTGTTGAATCGGAAAATCGTCTGGAACTACATGAAATAACGTGTCGGTGCCGAAAATGCATATTCTAACGTGCGAGTTCGACCTTTTTCATTCCGCTTAATTCAAATACGACTTTATTATCAATAAGCATCTTCTCATGAAGAGAATTCTTCTTTATCAAGTTCATGTCAAAACCAATATCTATCATAAAATTAGCACGTTCCTCTATCAAATCTTTGCTGGGTAAAATAACGGAAGGTGGTTTACCGACTTTGTTACACGCGAGGTTTATTCTTGCGCTTCTTCGTGAGTTTGTTCGGGAGTCACTAGGCGCACTCGCGGGCGTTCGTTCAGCGTTGCGCCATTTCGCTGCACCCGCTCCCTGTTTCCCTGACCTTCTCTAATTTGAATTTCTTGATTGTTGGATCGAGTTAGTTTATTTTGTGGATCATTATTATATTGTTTTTTCCTGCACTGTTCAATGCTATGTCTTGGTATTTTACAATAACGGCATACTAAATTAAAATTTCTGGAAGCTGTATGATTTTGTCGATTTACTTGATTATAATTCATATTTCGATTCATATTGTTTATCGGAGTGTTTCGATAATTTAAGCCTCTTGATTGAGGAGTTCTGCATTCTGCACGTGTATGTTCTGAATTTTTACATAATGTACAAACTTTAGGTTGCCATTGGACATGAGTTACTTGAGCCAATGGATTAATGGTGCTACATGAATAAGCATTATGTCCATATCCCAGACAATTATTACAGCATATTGATTGCATAAGTCCCTCAGTAATTTTCATTCTTTGTGCATGTTCATTATATTCAGCTTCAGCCTTTATGGCAGATTCAATAGCATGATTTAAACTGACAGGATCACGCAGATAAAGTCTAGTATATATGTCAGTTTTTAATCCTGTTAAGAAATTTTTGATGGCATTAGCTTCTGCAGAATTAGTAAATTGGATCGCTTGGTTCGGATTTTCGGTCTGATAACAGGATTTCAATTGTTGCAATAGCATTGATACGCGGCTACCATAATCCACCACAGATTCATTCTGAATGCTGTGATACTTTAGAAAGTGTAAATTCTCCGTGTAATTGTGATGAAGAATAAACAGGTGCAAATCTAGTTTTTATGACAGCTAACAAGATTCTATATCGTTATATTCTCCACTTAAAGCCACTCTTAAAGCAAGTCCTACTAATTTGTTTTTAATCATTTGTACCAGATCATATTCTGCTCTGGGAGAGACCATATTTTTTGCATGTAAGCAGCTGTTAGCGAATTGTGATACTGGCATATTTTTTTCCATCGAATGGGAGAATTGTCTCGACTACGTCGCGCAAGCTTACATATGGTATATTATTACTAGGTCTATGATTGGCGCTTGTATCGTTGGCTACGCTCATGTTTCCTATTTGTCTAGTCAACGCATCTATTTCCCCAGTATGAGACATATTTGTAGAATATTCTTAATAAATATCGCACGAAGGAAATCGAAATATGATACTCGTAGCACTTACATATAGCACGCAGTGAAGAAAAGTATGAGAATACGCAAATCCATGAAGACTTGATTCCTTATTTGCAGTCTTATCCTTGCTGTCGTGTTCCTTCTGGACAAGGTATTCCTCTTCTCTTGAAATGTAGACACGATCCAGACCTCAGTCCGGTTTATTCGAAGGAATCAGCGTATTTTATCCCACCGTTGCCACCAAATTTTTGTTGTGACGTTCTGGTAACATCGCGATCAATTGGTTCCGTGAGGCAGGTTTTTCCAACAGTTTTCCGAGTTCGACAGAACGTCTTAGTTATGGGTTCTTCTTCTTGCGATTAAGGGGATAAAACCCTGGGATAATTAACTGCTTTGAGTTGGGTTTCCTTTACTGACGATGATTAAAGAAATATACTTTTGTTTAAAATTTAAATTCTTTATTCTGACTTGACTTGGTCTAGCAGTTTACAGTACGAGTAAGAATTTGAGTGAGAGTTTTAAGTTTAGAGTATTTAAGTCTAGAGTGAATCTATGAGAATGAGGTTGAGAAGGAGAATGAGAATGAACTAAGCTGCTCTTCCGTTGTTGGAAGAGTTTTTATACACTTTTAAAATTGAATGGTAGGGGTAATTTATGACGGAGTTTTAAGAACAAATTCTTTAGCTATGAAACGGATTTTTGCGAATTTCTTGGGTAGTCTTTAAGAGAAAGTTTTTCTAAGAATACATATTAGTTGATTTTCCGAATGCATTGCTTGCAAGGTCGTGTCTTACATACCCAGCAAACACAGAATATTGCAGCAATATTACAGCAATATTACAATATTGCAGCAATGTTGCGGCAATGTAGCTGCAATATTTTGGTTTGCTGGGTACATTATAATAAATTACGATAAATAACCCTTTTCAAAGAATTACAATAATTATTTAATTATTTAAAATATTGTTTATTTATCATGATTTTTACATAAATAGATTCTCTTTAATCTTTTAGATATATTTTACATTATATTTTTATATAATTGTATAATAAAATAAGCTTATATTTAAAAGGACTTCCTTATATCGATCTTTGTCTTTCCTAAGTATTACATATAAGTCTATCTCGCTCGTATAGATGATTCATATATATATCTCTCTCAGATTCGCATTTTATTATAGGTGACGTATAAGTGTATCTCTCTTGGTTTCATGTTAGTTTGTGCTTGTAGCTTATTGGATGAAGGATAGTGAGAAAAGAAAAAAATCTTTCTGCTAGATCTTTCTGCTAGATCTAAAGATCTAGGGATCTATGGATCGCCGGATGTGACACAGTATATTACATCTGTAACGTATATTACATCTGTAACGTATGAGTATAGAATATTCGAATGATATCATGTGCTGTTAGGGTATTGTTATACGAAGTGTATTCAAAAAAAAAGGTGACTTTTCAAATTTCGTGGGCTACGTACATTCGATTTTCGAATTTTTTTTTGTTATGTGGGTACACATGTCCCCAACATATATTGACATTATCAGCTGTTTTGCATGTTTGGTTTGTTTTTCACAGATATAAGGGTTAGATGTGTTTTGGTGTGCTTGGCGATTTTTTGCTATCGAAAAAAATGGATCAAAGAATCTGTATTAAATTTTGTGTGAAAAATAAAATTAAGTGCTCTGACGTACTTGAAATGTTGACTGTGGCATTTGGCGAGTCTACTCTGAGCAAAAAAAATGTTTACAAGTGGTACAAGCTCTTCACAGAAGGTCGAGAAGATGTTAATGACGATGTCCGCCCTGGACGCCCCAGCACGTCAACAACCGATGACAACGTCAAAGCAGTGAAGAAAATTATTATGGAGAATCGTCGAATCACTATTAGAGAAGTTGCTGAGGATGTCGGCATATCGGTTGGCTCATGCCATGCAATTTTTTCGGGTGTTTTGGGTATGCAACATGTGGCGGCGAAGTTTGTTCCGAAATTGCTGAATTTCGACCAAAAACAACGTCGCGTAGACATTGCTCAGGAGCTGTCCGTGCGTTGAATGCCGTCAACGACGATCCAGATTTGCTCAAAAGGGTCATAACTGGTGACGAATCATGGGTATATGGCTATGACGTCGAAACCAAAGCCCAATCATTCCAATGGAAGCGGCCAGAAGAGCAAAGACCGCATCACTGAAAAAGCTCGAGACCATACCAAAAAGCGCATATCAAAAGTGCTTCGAGGATTGGAAAAAGCGCTGGCACAAGTGTATAATATCTAAGGGGGATTACTTTGAAGGGGACAAAATAGATATTGATGAATAAATATTTTTCGAGAAAAATAAAAAGTCCCCTTTTTTGTGAACACATCTCGTATATATTATGTTACATATATATTGTTATATATATTATGTTAATCAGTAAAAATAATATAGTAATACTAATTAATACTATAATATAAGTATAATTAAGTATAATTAATACTAATTTATAATAATATAATAATAAAGTTTTAAATTCCTAATTTTAGATCATTATTTTTTATACTGTGGATTGAAAATAATAATCAATTAGATGTAGCAAGGGCAAAAAACAATAAGATTTGTTATATGGAATACATACAGCCTTTTTGCTAACGTTATTTGCATTGATAATTGTCTGTTGAGACCATTGATTCCCGACTGCAATATCAAGTTCTTTTGAATCAATAGGATAATTTGAAAAAGCTACAAAATTCATCAATAATTCTCCAATTAAAATAGATTTTTCATCATGATCTAAACAAATATTTTTAATGCGTACGATAGTCCTATCTTGCAAATAACAATATTGATCTGCTTTATTCATTATTGATAGTGTAAATTTATTAAAATGTAATATTATATGAGGTGATACCAAGTTCTTTCGATATTTTATGATTTTTACATGTCACTGTAGGTTTTTCGAAAAATAAATTTTTCTTTTTTTCAAAATTACATGCAATACGTTCTAAAATTCTATTGTGCAGCTGTTGTAAAGGTTTTTCTGCCTTTTTAATGTTTTTTAAATATTATATAAGTAAATCTCAAATGAAAAAGAACTGAATGAATCAAGATGATCAAATTTTAAAACATCACTGGCTAAATGAATTAAATTATGGATATTATATATCAAAAAATTGGTACCATATAATTCAGTACATTTCCCTATAAAATATTCCAATAAATCTGTAGCATATTTATTATTATCTTTGCAATCTGTTTTGTGACAAAGAATCCTGATTGCACAGTGTAGAGAAATAAAATGGATGAAATATTTCTTTGTGTTAGATTGAGCAATGTATAACCTCTCTCTCTACACTATGTATTCTATGTTTTAAATTCTTTCGTTTCTTATATATTTTTCATGCTTCATGACTCTTCTCGTACAGTTACTGAATATTAAAATACAGTTCAATGAATCTGTGATAAAACTTATTTCATCCACTCCTTATCCTCGCTACTCTACATCATCACTTTGATAAATAATTTTGAAGAACAACTGGACCTACATACAATAAAAATAATCTCAATTCAGTCGCTTTCCATCGATCAAGATATTCTAATTCCCGAGTTTTTCTAGCAAATTCAGATGGAATCCATTTTGCTATGATTTTTAAATTTACAGATATTTCTTTTAACAGATATCATTTTAGCAGAAAAACTTAATATATTTATGAGATCCTTTTGTTACCTTTTGTAAGATTTTTTTTACAGCTCCGAGACAAACAAAGTGCATATAATCAAGTGGGAATTGCGAGACCACCCCTAAATCTGCTTCTTCAAATAATGATGTTCCAGAATGATGATTTTCATCAATACATTTAATGAAATTTTCATCTGTTCTTAAGGTAGTTGTACCCCGACTGCACCAGTCAATGTAGAAAATGACATAAAAAGTGCAAAATATACAGGGCGATCCCGAAAAACCTTCCGTCTTTAAAATGACGTATTCCTGACACTATTCTAAGACAATTTTTTCTTTAGCAAAATTTGATTTGAAGCGTAGTTTTTGAGTTATAAGCAGAAATAGTTAGTAAATCACGCGTCGGGTACAGAAGGCAGACAGGGGCGGCCCGGCGCGCCGCGAGCGCGGGCGCAGCTGATCGCCCGACAGGCGATTATCACTGCATGAGTCACTAACTATTTTATCTTATAACATAAAATTATGCTTTAAATAAAATTTTGGTAAAGAAGAAAATGTCTTAGAATTACATCAGGAATACGTGTTCCTTAAAATAATGTTAATTATTAAAAGTTATTCCGGATCGCCGACCGTCGAACGCTGTAATCAGCTGATTGCTACATGCGATGTGTGTATGGCGGAGTGTGCGTAAAAGAGAGAGAGAGAGAGAGAGAAAGAGAGAGAGAGAGAGAGAGAGAAAGAGAAAGAGAGAGAGAGAGGGAGGAAGGGTAAAAGGGACAGACATTCATACACACGCACGCACGTACGCATACACTTTTTTCTCTCTCTCTTTTACAACACTCTGTCATTTAGTCACTCATTCTCTCACTCACTCACTCACTTACTCTGCTTACTTATTGCTCACTCACCTGGTAGCAGCGTAGCGAATCTTCATGCTACGTATTGTTGTAACTGCTGCACGATTATTAGATCGCTGCACCGCTGATTGTTAGAGATGCGCGGCACATCGAAACTTTCTCACTTCGAAACACTCTTACACTCGATTGACACAGATTACGCGATAACGAGTTTACTGTTTATTACTCACTCGATTCACATCGTTTTATCGAGACTTAAAATTACTTTAAAAGAAACGCGAATGCGAGAGAACACATGACTCGACGCGAAGCGACGGACCGCGGAGACTGCGCGACCACGAGGGTTATGTGTTGCCAGAAACGCGACACGCGACATCTAACAATAAACGCCTTGCGCGTGGCGCGTGATTGACGCGAGATAAGACGAACAATCGGCTAAAACCTTCTCACCCTTACCCTTCCTCCCTCTCTCTCTCTCTTTCTCTCTCTCTCTCTCTCTCTTTTACGCACACACTCCACCATACACACATCGCATGTAGCAATCAGCTGATTACAGCGTTCGACGGTCGGCGATTCGGAATAACTTTTAATAATTAACATTATTTTAAGGAACACGTATTCCTGATGTAATTCTAAGACATTTTCTTCTTTAAAATTTTATTTAAAGCATAATTTTATGTTATAAGATAAAATAGTTAGTGACTCATGCAGTGGTAATCGCCTGTCGGGCGATCAGCTGCGCCCGCGTTCACGGCGCGCCGGGCCGCCCCTGCCTGCCTCCTGTACTCGACGCGTGATTTACTAACTATTTTTGCTTATAACTCAAAAACTACGCTTCAAATCAAATTTTGGTAAAGAAAAAATTGTCTTAGAATAGTGTCAGGAATACGTCATTTTAAAGACGGAAGGTTTTTCGGGATCGCCCTGTATATAATTTGTACACTAAAAATCTTAATAGGAGAAATACAATTCGTATTAAAACTATTTACACGGTAATACAAAATTATAATAACATGAACAAAAATTAATTTACTAATGCTCCACGTAGTGAAAATGAAAAGTTTAGACGTGGCAACGTCGCGTTCTCTTAATTCAATTATAGGTTGGATATTTATTTTTCTCAAATCATTATATAACCTCTACCGTCGCGTCGCTCATGCAAAATGTCATCGGTTACAAGAAATCCTAAGGGGAGATTTATAAAAAAAAAAGAACTCAAAAGGAGAGAAAAAGTAGCAGCTGCATGTGCTCAAATTGGAAGAAAAAGCATAATGCAATCTCCGGAGAAATTGAACCGTCTAATGTTTGCATAGGAAACAGGATCGTTGACATTCAAGTTTTGGCAAAAAACCTCGGGAGCGTCCCGTTTGACCACGTTGCGATTGACCACAGCCAATTATATCGACCTGTGCCTAGGGTAACCAGCAACGATTAACCAATCAGAGAGTCCTATTTTGAATTGGCCAATTGGCGACGTGGTCAATCGGGTGCCACCCAAAACCTCAAGTGTAAAGAATGCAAGTTACATTTGTCACTCCAAAGAATTGAAAAAGAAATTAAGCGAGGTTTACTTTCCACTTTTATGGTAAAGTGTGACCAATGTCAAACATTAACTCGAGTTGACACCGGAGAATTTCATCTTGTCGCTGAAGATGCTCGAGTTTATATTAAAGATAAAGTACATAATAATGTTACAACAAATGCAGTTCTAGGTAATTAATAATGTTCATTTACATCCCTGCAAAAAAATTTAGACAGGATTCAAACGATATTAATACGTATGGGAATTTAAAAGAAGTTAGACTTATACATGATAAATTTGATTATAGGTAGCTTGAATGCAGGAGTGGGTTGTACAGAGCTCAATAAAATTCTTGCTTGTTTGGATATTCCAACAATTTCAACAAAAATTTTCCGAAAATATGAACAAGAAATTGGTCCAGCGATTGAAGCAGCAGCAAGAAATTCCTGTAGAAAAGCTGCTTTAACAGAAAGAAAGTTGGTCCTTCGAAATATTGAGGAATTGCGAAAGGAAATGTAAATAACATTTCACAAATTTTTTTTATATATCAATTACTGCACGTTTCAGAATTTCATCGATGAATTTGAAAATAGTTCAAAGTAGTCTTCGTATAAAAAATACTAATTTTTATTACATTTCATATTCATCAATGAATTTGAATATAGTCTAAAGTAGTCAAGAAGAATTTTTCCTCAATATTAATGAAGCAATTGCAGCTGATAATAATAATAACAATCAAGATTTTGACAAAACTATAGGCAACATTGTCAATGTCATTGTTTTTTACGATATGGGTTAGTCGAAACGCGGAAACGGTAAAAGTTACGACAACTTGAATGGATACGGGGCAATAATAGGTTTCTTATCCAAAAAAATATTAGATTATCGTACACGTAAGAGAAAATGCCGTTTGTGCAGCCTGGGACGAGCGAAGGATAAACACGATTGCCGACTAAGTTTCACTGGCAGTGTAAAAGCAATGGAAGCTGATGCCGGTTCCGATCTTATTGCTGATAGTAATATTTTAAAAGAGGCTAATTTGGAAGTGAAATTAGTGTTTGGAAATGAAGATAGTTCTCTAATGCCTGCCGTTAATAAAAAAAAATAAAGAAAGTGCAATTTATAAATTAGCAGATATGAACCATGTGAAAAAAAATTTTTCAAAAAAAATTTATGGTCTGCAATGTAAACATAGCCAGTTAAGAAAAAAAGGATTTATATCGCACATAAAAAAATGCTTTAGCTATGCCATTGCGCAAAATAAAGGCAATAGTATAGAATTAGGCAATAACGTCCGCTGTATTCCTGATCATCTATATAACAAACATGAAAATTGCGGTCGTTGGTGCAAAAAAGTTTCTGGCAATAATGCTGAGCTGTATAAACCAAAATTTACTATCACAAATGAACAGTTTTATGAAGACTTAAAGGAAAATTTTTTCTGTTTATGCTGATAATGCATTTAAATATTGCATTTCTGCTTCTAGTCAAGCTAATGAAGCCTTTAACCATACAGTTACACGAAAATTTCCAAAAAATAAAAGTTACAGTACAAGTACATCTGGCCATATTCGAGTAGCTAGTGCTGTTTTAGTAAAGAATGATGGAAATATGTACTTGAAAGATTTAAAAGAATCAATCAATCTTCCAATCACTAGTCACATGCTAAATCATTGTAATAAATTAGATAAAATTAACGTAACCAAATCTATAAAATCTCAATATACAACGTCTAAGCAGAGAAGAAATGAACTGAGACAAGAAAGAGAAAAATTGCGAGTAGTCAATGAAAAAGAGGAAGGTATTACTTATAAGTCTAATGTAGCTTTTGAAAAACGTAGCAACAATGAAAAATCTAGTCTCAATGAAGTAATTGAAAATACAGATTTAAAAGAAGATTATAAGATGGTTGTATTTGATTTAGAAACTTCAGGCCGAAAGAAAAATTCAGATATTTTACAACTTGCTGCTATAGTTCAAGAAAATGTATTTTCGGTTTATGTAACGCCCACTCAAGATGTAGATAAGTTTGCTTCTGAAATCAATGGCTTACACAATATCGGAAGAGAACTATATTTACGAAATGAAAAATTACTTACGTTGTCTATGGTGGATGCATTACAAGCGTTTTATGCATTTTTATGTAAAGTAGGTAAAAGTAAAAAATGTATATTGATAGCACATAATGCTTCTTTCGATATATCATTTTTTTTTAAGAGAATGTATAAAATATTCGCTAATTGATTGTTTTAAGTCGATTGTTTATGGGTTTTGTGATAGTTTACAGTTATTTAGACAAAAATTTCCTGATCGTAAGGGAAAAGGTATGTGTACGTTATCTAAATTAGCTAAAGATTTATTGGAAAATCACTCCAAAAATGAAAATTATCATGAAGCTGTATTTGATGTATCAATATTACAACAATTAGTTGTTGCAAATTTTCCTGTGAGCCTTATATTAAAAAATGTAAAGAGATTCGAAATGAAAGTAACAGATTATATTGACAAATCTGTGATACATTCCAAAGTAATAACCTATCTATATTTAAATCCATTTTATCTAATTATATGATAAGAAAAATTGCATCGCTTGATATTTCTTTTGAGCAGTTAAAAGAAATTTATACGAGAGATGGGGAAAACTCGCTTATTTCTTTTTTATCAGAAAAAAAGGACAACAAAAAACCTCACGTTACTAATAATGCTGCTATAATACAAAAATTTATTGAAATTATTAAAAATGCATCAAAATAGATAAAGAATATTATTACAAATATATTTATTGAAATTGTTAAAAATGCGACAAAATATATCTAAATAATGTTATTACAAATATATTTATTGAAATAAATCGTTTATATTTTCACATGAACATATTTGCTTTTTTCTAGTAACCAAACCATATTTCGATCTCGGTTTGAATCGAGCACCACGCGCGCGCCGCGCGGTGGTCAGGCAACGTTGCCACGTGTACAATTCCTTCAGCAGTTGTTCATCGAGATACCCCGAAAATAGATAATTGTCAATTTTTGAATTAATATTACTCTACAACTGTATGGATGGCCCTTCCCCAAAAAAAATATCCTCTTCATAAAGGTTTTAATTAGTTTTGTGCGAATTTTGGAGTAAATTTCAATGTTTCGTCATTTACAAAAAATAAAAATACACGTTTTGTCGTTGTCGACGCCATTTGCCCTATGTTAATCATTGTGAAAAGTAAGAACTTTGACTGCGAATATCTAGAAAACTGTACGGGCAATCGATCCAAAATTTCACGTACGTGTTGTTTACAACAAAAATAAATTTTGCTAAAAAAATCAGCAAATTTTCAACATTTTGATTTTGGGGTACAACTACCTTAAAGCTGCACTCGAATTCAAAAAATAATATGATTGTAATAATTTCCTTCTTCTCTACATTTTCCACATCCAAAGTAGCCATTGTGATCTTTTGTACATGTGACGAAAGATCGTGTGCTGAACTGTCACAAATTACAGCTCTAATTGTAACAGTAAAAATTTGATTGCAATAGTCAAATCCGCTTCGATGTAAAATGTTATATTCATCAATAAATTCTCTCAAAAATGTATTACAGGAGTTAGGCTTTTCATATCCATGATAAGCTCCGATTACAATGGCTGGAAATTTTTGGATAAATTTCTCCCAGAATAAAGGGATAAAGTTCACTTTTTGAACTTTTAGCTATGGCAATCCATCAATATTTACATTTATTTGGATATCATGAGATATTTTGTTGATACCAATCATTCTCAATTGATCAGTTAAGGCTCCGGAGTAGTCACCGCGGCCATCTTTAAATCGTGACGTCATAAGCGAGAAAGGACATCCAGATTTATATTGCGACTGACATCTAAATAAAAACATATTTGAATGAAATAAGACTACCAATCTCTTCAGCACACCTGTAAAAATGGACGGATACTAATCCTTTCCTTTCACAATTTATAAATAGCCGTAAATTGAGTCCGAAATGAAGCCTTGAAAATGCGAAAAAACACGCGATTTGACAGCTGTCGAAAGGAGAGGAAAATGTTACTTTCTAAAGTTTATTCCTTATACAGCTTAGTATCCGTCCGTTTTTACAAGTTTCCTTAATACATTGCACATCACAACACTAGCACATAATTATGAAATGGAACGCAACGTAAATTGGGTCATTTCTCGCTTACGAGACCATTTTTCACGCCTTATAGTTCACCGATTTATAGCAATGAGGCTGCATGAGAATTTTGACATGTGGGTAACATGTGGGTAATATGATACCATGTAGGTAATGTAGAAATATTTGTACATAATGAGGCCCTTGTACAAAACAATTAAAAAATTAAATTAAATTTACAAAATAGAAATAATTTTAAAACTTTTTGTATATACATATTTAAAAATACATACTTTTTATTTCTTTCTTTTAATTTTGTTCTTCCTCTTTTCTTCTTCTTTTCCTTCTCTTTTGTTTCATTTTCTTCGTCTTCATAAGTTGATTCTTCTTCTATACTCATCTCACTTTTTTTCTCATCCTTTCTTCTTTCATCTTTTCTTATATCTTTTTCCAATCTGCAAATTCAATCATGTCGTTTATTAAATGTTTTATTTACAGGACTTTAATTTAAAGAATACTCTAACAAAAAAAAGAAAATAATCTAAAAAGAAAACAATACATGTTATATATATATATATATATATATATATATATATATATATAACATGTATTGTTTTCTTTTTAGATTCTTTTATATATACACACACACACACACATATACAGTATTGTGCAAGGTATTTTATTTTCAGCACTGAGGTACAGGTACAGGTACTCTGGAAAAAATGTACCAAGGCAGAGGTATTTCATAATATGAATACATTTTTTGCAGAGTATCTGTATCTGTATGTCGGTACATTTTTTCCAGAGTACCTGTACCTCCCTAGTAGCAGAATGACGTCAAATGACGTCTTAATAACGTCTTAATGATGTCATAGACGTCTTTAAGACGTCTTTAGACGTCATCTTGCTACCTGGGCTGTACCTAGGTACTGAAAATAAAGTACCTTGCACAACACTGCACATATATATATATATATATATATATATATATATATATATGGGACATTCTTTGTCAAAAAGGCCACCCCCTCTGTCCAAAAATTGAAGCAACCTAGAAAATTTTTCCGCGGGAAAATTTGAAGCTACACGTATGTAGTTTTTATTGAGCTGTGGCCTTTTCGGAAAAACCAAGATGGCGGACCTCAAATTGGTATCAATACGCAATGGTACAGAGATACGAAACACGAAATATTGGTTTATAGTCAATAAAACTATTTCAATTCAAACTAATGTAAGAGTCGATGCGTCTTCTAAGCTGTAGGGATAAATTTGTATAAAAGTAAGGTATCCGCGAACCAACAAAAACCAATATGGCGGGAAAAATCATACAAATCTCAAAAATATCCGAAAAAACGCACTTTACGAAAAAAACGCCCCTCACCATTCTTCAATAGTTTTCAACGAGGAATACGATGATGTGCTTGGTTTTAATCTTGACTCCAAATGTCATTTTCAAGGTCATTTCAAGGACAACTGTTAATAATAAGATTCTCATCAGCATTACCAGGATCCGAAATTTTAAAAAACCACTCGTTTACTATTCAACAACCAAAAACGGTAGTTATTAAACGATTTTCTTATGCTACCAAAGGAGTAGAATTTTATGCAGAAAATGCTTAGTATTTGCTCTTCTAGTAACAGAGAAATTTCCCGCCATATTGGTTTTTGTTTGTTGACCCCCTGGAGGACATTTTGACTTTGTCAAATGAATACATATCTGGATGTCAAATTTTACGTGCTGTCCATTCATACAGTCCAGAATACGGATTTTTTTTGTAGTAAAGAACAGTTGTCCTTGAAATGACCTTGAAAATGACATTTGAAGTCAAGGTTAAAACCAAGGACATCATCGTATTCCTCGTTGAAAACTATTGAAGAATGGTGAGGGGCGTTTTTTTCGTAAAGTGCGTTTTTCCGGATATTTTTGGGATTTGTATGATTTTCCCCGCCATATTGGTTTTTGTTGGTTCGCGGATACCTTACTTTTATACAAATTTATCCCTACAGCTTAGAAGACGCATCGACTCTTACATTAGTTTGAATTGAAATGGTTTTATTGACTATAAACCAATAGTTCGTGTTTCGTATCTCCGTACCATTGCGTATTGATACCAATTTGAGGTCCGTCATTTTGGTTTTTCCGAAAAGGCCACAGCTCAATAAAAACTACATACGTGTAGCTTCAAAATGACCCGCGGAAAAATTTTCTAGGTTGCTTCAATTTTTGGACAGAGGGGGTGGCCTTTTTGACAAAGAATGTCCCGTATACAGAGTGAGGCATCTAAAACAGGCCACCTGAATAACTCCGTTGGTAAGCCGAATACAAAAAAATTGTTCAGGACAAAAGTTGTATGGTTTCAAGGGGGACATATGATGGTGTCATTAGTTTAATCTTGAAGAGCCACCCGAAGGTCACGTGAAGGTCAGCTCCAACTTTTAAATGGGACACCTTATATGCTTTTGCATATTCTTGTAGCTCATCTCAAGAGCTTTCCAAAACACTACAATTATGTCAGTTTTCATTAAATACTTTCCAAGTTATGAGGCTTGAAATCATTTTTTAATTTTACATAAACCGTAAAATATCTTGTAAAATATTCATTTTTCGATTATTTTACCTTAATACTTTTATGTACAAAATAATGAGAAGAATCAATTGGTGTAAAGAAAACACATAATTGCTTCGAACAAAAAAATGTAATTGTTAATTGCAAATTACATTTTTTTGTTCGAAGCAATTATGTGTTTTCTTTACACCAATTGATTCTTCTCATTATTTTGTACATAAAAGTATTAAGGTAAAATAATCGAAAAATGAATATTTTACAAGATATTTTACGGTTTATGTAAAATTAAAAAATGATTTCAAGCCTCATAACTTAGAAAGTATTTAATGAAAACTAACTTAATTATAGTGTTTTGGAAAGCTCTTCAGATCAGCTACAAGAATATGCGAAAGCATATAGGGTGTCCCATTTAAAAAGTTGGAGCTGACCTTCAGGTGGCTCTTCAAGATTAAACTAATGATACCATCATATGTCCCCCTTGAAACCATACAACTTTTGTCTGAACAATTTTTTTATATTCGGCTTACCAACGGAGTTATTCAGGTGGCCTGTTTTAGATGCCTCACCCTGTATATAATATAATATAATATATATAATATATATAATATATATATATATAATAACACAAAACCTTTTTTTTCTTATTTCTTGTTCTTTCTCTTCCTTCTTCTTTCTCTCTCTTCTCTCTTCCTCTTTCCTTCTCTCAACTTTATTCCTTCTTCTATCTTCCTCATCTTTCTTCATCCTTCTGTCATCTTTCATCCTCTCGCTTTCTTTTCTCAGCATTTCTCTTTTCTGTTGCCTGGATCTATTTATATAATAAATAAAATTAATGTATAAATATTAAAATATACACCATGGCCCATTTTAATCGACGCACCTGAATATCTCCGTTGGTAAGCCGAATACAAAAAAATTGTTCAGACAAAAGTTGTATGGCTTGAAGGGGGACATAAGATGGTATCATTGGTTTTATCTTGAAAAGTTGTTTGAAGGTCACATGAAGGCTACCTTCAATTTTTTTAATGGAACCCCCTATTTTTATTACTTATTCTTATAGCTTATCTCGAGAGCTTTTCAAAACACTATAATAAAGTATTTCTTCATTGAGTACTTTTCGAGTTATGAGGCTTGAAATCATTTCTTAATTTTACATAAACCATAAAAATATCTAGTAAAATATTCATTTTTCGAATATCTTACCTTGATACTTTTATGTACAAAATAATGAGAGGAATCAATTGGTGTAAAGAAAACACATAGTTGTTTCCAAGAAAAAATATGTAATTTGCAATTAACAATTTCATATTTTTTTCTCAAAAACAACTGTATGTTTTCTTTATAGCAATTGATTCCTCTCATATTTTGTATATACGTCACTACTTCGATGTATATACGTCACTACTTCACGTTATTTTTTATTACAGTATACTCTGAAAGATTTTCTATTATAATATTAAAAGAATTATAATTATTATATAAGTATTTATTATAAATTATTATTATAATATTTACGTATATATTACATACTCACATGTTGCTTGCACCGCAGTAAAGCATGGACTGATTTACACTAACAATACTCGCCGCTTCTCGCCGCGTTTTTCGCTAGTTTTTTGTTTTCGTCGCGTGCGATATCTTATTACATCTTTGTGTGCTAAGTACTTTAACAATCGAGCGATCTAGTAGACAGCTCAAGTTTTCATTCTTTCATAAAGTGATATTATGGAAACGCGTGAAATTAGTGAAAAATGTGCGACGAAGTTAATGAACGAATTTATGGGAGAAGACGCAATACAAAAAAGTATCGATTATCATGCAAGCGGCTAAGCAGACGAAAATCGTCAATAAATAAAAGGTAACATTATTTTATTAGTAGAAAAGAAAATAGAAAAATTACCGTGCACATTGTCGTTATGTAGCCAAAGTAATGAAAGCCAGTGTACATCAATCATGGTAATTAATCTTGGAATCACGGATTTTAT